CTGGAGCTGGCATAGACCCTGAACAGCAAATAGCTGAAGTGCCCTCCCAGAGCTAGGAAACAAGTCCTTCCCTGATGGTGATCTGGGCAGTGCATTTCTGTTTCTACTTCCCGTGGATTGCTATGTCTTTGGTCAAATGTGAAGCAGAGCCTTGCCCCAGCTATGATTACTGGTAGTTGAAGTAGCCAACTATTAGTTCTTTGCCCATATATCAGCATTAACAAGCCAATATGATCCTGTCACCTTGATTATATGGGTGTAAAAACCTGGGCTGCATAATAATGTCATAATTACATGTACCTTGGAATTAAGTGCTGGACATAGCTTATGTCTGAAAAAAAGAAAATGTACTGGAGTATAAGACAAGAAAAAAATTACCTAAGTGTACAAATTGCTTTTTTTTATTGATTGCTGTATATGACATACTTAGTCATAATGGTGACATAGTACCAGATTTTCTATTTTCAAGAATGATCTATATCTTGGCTATGACACCCCAAACCCAAGCAACTAAAAAACAAAAACGGATAAGTTGGATTTCATAAAAATTAAAAATTTGCATATCAAAAGATACTACCAAGAAAGTGGAAAGACAGCTCACAAAGTAGGAAGAAATATTTGCAAATATTTGTACATCTGTCAAGGGTCTAGTATTTATTTAAAAAAATTTTTTTGCAATACTAGATATTGAACCCAGGGGTGTTCTACACTGAACTACACCCCCAACCCTTTTTATTTTTTATTTTGAAACAGAGTTTCACTAAGTTGCTGAGGCTGGCCTTGTGATCTTCCTGCCTCAGCCTCCCAAGTCACTGGGATTGCCATATGCCTGGCCTACGTGAAGAAGTTTTAGGACTCAATAACAAAAAGTCAAGCAACTTAATTAAAATGCAGGCAAAAGATTGGAATAGACATTTCTCCAGAGAAGATATGCAACTGTCCAACAAGCACATGAAATATTCAACACCACTAGCCATCAGGGAAATACAAATTAAAACCACAATAAGATTTCACTTCACACATACTAGGATGACTATAACCAAAAGGAGAGAACTGAAAGCAGGGATGTGGAGGAATCAGAGCCCTCATACATTGCTGATGGGAATGTAAAATTGTACAGCTGTTTTGGAAAACAGTTTCAGTTTCTCAAAAAGTTAAACACAGTTACCATTTGACCCAGCAATTCTACTACTTCTTTCTATTTCACATACTCATGTGAAATAGAAATCTATGTCTATACAAACATTTGTACAAGAATGAAAACAGCATTATTCATAATAGCCAAAAGTCCATTGACTGGTGAAGGGGTAAACAAAATGTGGTATACCATATAAGGAATATTATTCAACCATGAGAAGGAATGAAGTACTAATACATGATATAAAGTGTATCTTGAAAACATCATGCTGGTGGCTAGGATTGTGGCTCAGTGGTAGAGGGCTCGCCTAACATGTGCAAGGCCCTGGGTTCAATCCTCAGCACCACATAAAATAAAAATAAATAAAATAAAGGTATTGTGTCCAACTACAACCAAAAAATAAATATTAAAAAAAAAAAGAAACTGGGCTGGGGATGTGGCTCAAGTGGTAGCGCGCTCACCTGGCATGCATGCAGCCTGGGTTCAATCCTCAGCACCACATACAAATAAAGATGTTGTGTCCGCCGAAAACTAAAAAATAAATTAAAAAAAAAAAAGGAAACATCATGCTAAGTGAAAGAAGCCAGACACAAAAAAGGCCATATTTGTATGATTCCATTTATATGAAATATCTAGAATAGGCCAATACATAGAGATGGGAAGTATATTGATAGTTTCCAGAAGATGGCAGGGAGAGAAGAACTGGCAGTGATAGCCATGGGATTTCTCCTGGGGGTGATGAAATGTTCTAAAATGAGATGATGGTGGTACAATTTTGTGAATACACTAAGACCCCCTGAATTTTTAGTTGTAGATGGACACAATGC